CCGTCCCCTTGTGTGTTATGTAGCTTTTTCTGCATGTAAACGGTCTGCAAAGTCACAAACGCTCAAAGTACACCCTGTAGCTAGTAAAACTCTAACACAGAAAAGACCTGTCTATGCTGCCCCAGAACGCCTCGTTGGAGATTTCTCTTTTTCTTTTTCTTCCTGGGTACAGTGACGTGACCATACCCAAATGGACCCATTATGACGCGCTGGGGGTGCTAGTGCTAGTAGAGCCTCGCAGCGGTGAAACTGTGGCGCGCTTACACTGTAGGTGCGCCACGTTTGGGGGTGCGGGTGCTGGTGTAGCCTCGCAGATGGGGGTGCTGCAGCCCCCTCAGCATCCCCTCCTTCCCGCGTCCATTCTTGATGTTTCGCTGTCTCGCAGACCCCACGCAGCAAGCAGGAAATGAACCCAGCTCACACTGTCCGCTCCTTGCAGCAGCAAGCCTCGCAACGTCCCGCCAACACGGCACCCAGACCCCACGCAGCATTCTCATCTGTTTGTCGTTGCTGGTGTCATTTTCTGGTTGCTAACAAACGCCATTGTAACACATGATCACTGATGTTCCGCTGCAACGGTGGTTGACTCATCAGAACAGAGTGGGCGAGCTGACCAATCAGAGCACAGTGGGCTCACAGGGAGGGGGCGGGGGCAGGAGCTCCACCAAGCCGTTTAGGACAGAGAGTGAATACACATACTATACAGATATGCTGTATGAGAAACCAATGTGAGTTTGGAAAATTGAACAATGTAAATCTATTCTAGTAGACCTCAACAATGGAATTATGGTCAGTAGAAATGACCATGACATGGGACCTTTAACATAAGTAGCAGCTAAATAAAATGTAATATATGTAATCAACTATCAGGAGCAACATTTCAGTTATGATTTCAACAAATGTAAGTCAAATATTTTCATGTATTTTTGCAATTGTTTGTTCTCCACCAAAATCAGAAAAGCAGTAATAACAAAGTGTAATAACAAAGTGTTCTGCATTCAAATGTTGAATCAGATAAAAGTACAAAACATATTAAGCTTACAAAAATACTAAATGTTTTGTCATGAGGGCAAATGTACATAATATATGTTACATTAATATAATTATGAATGATGGTGGTATAAGCTAATTGATATACTAGTCAGCTTAGTTAGATTGGAATAAACAAAGTATTATCTTATGTTACCTTGTGAAAATACATCATAATGCTTTTATGAGTTTCACATTCCTCAATTAATCTGAATGTTACTGCATATGTATCATTGCATACATTCATCATATTTTTTTAAAATGTTTTAAGATGAGTCACTTTCCATCTGCTAACTTGTAACTGAAAGAGTCTCAAAAGCTTTATAGAACTGTATAGGGTTGATCTGTTGAGTCTGTGGGTGTTATGAGTGACACTTTTCGTATTAGGCGATGGTGGGCACACTTCAATTCCTGCGAAATACCAATGATATATTCCCAAATTAGGTAATTAATGGTTAATTTGATGATGTTAATTACCAAACAATTGTCCTATAGTTGTGTGACATCACGCCATCCAACCCTCACATTTGAACCAATTCTGTGATGAAGGCTTTGTCTATTAACAAACAGGAACACATTTCCAATGTCTATCTAACACTGTTTTAAAATGGGCTATTTTTTATTTTCACAACTGAAATTATTCCCTAAAAAGATTGAGAGACGTTCAGGTGTGTCTTACCAAGAAACATTACATTTTTAAGTTACATTTTTGTATCTGTTACCTTGACCGGAATAGCTGTGTGCCAAACAACATCCCTCTGTTAATTTCTAATATCAAAATGTCAATTAGTGCAGCTTTAAATGTCCTCTTTTAAAGTTTGGTTTGCACATTTAGGGGCCGCTGGTGGCCCTAAGCAGTTGCAGATACATTAATTAATTCCAACCCCATTGACTATACATTTTATGTCATAGATTTAGCTGAACTCCTTCGTTTTCCCTGCTGTCCTGGCAGCTGAGCCTCATGCAGACTGGCACTGGTTAGGGTTTATTTAATTGGTGGCAGACCGCAGGACGGTCGGAGTGGCTTTATCAACACAGAGCAGTGATAACAGCAGCATGTGTGTCTCCTGCTGCTGCTGATCCCCAAACAGTCTCTCACACTCATTAGGCCTGAGCTTTGCCAGCATGGGGAACAAAAACAGGCCGTAGCAGGGTGTTGATGGTGCTGATGGGGATGTTTCTGCCTAAAAGGAGGGTGAGGAGGAGGAGGAGTGGTGGAGGAGGAGGTGGTGATGGGGGCCTGTAAAACGTCAGACACAACATAAAGGCATTGCCACGTAATTACGACGCTTTCATTTAGGAGAGAGAGAGAGTGAGTAAGAGAGAAGGAGTGAGAGAGAGAGAGAGAGGGAGAGAGAGGGAGAGAGAGACTATAGGCTCCAATGGTTTGGAGGTGCGGCGGTATCGTCCTGCCTCCTCGCGCCTAGCTGCCGCTGAGCAAGCTTTGCGCACACACGGAGCTCGCGCATCTGGTCGTCATCAGCAGCAGCAGCAGCAGCCCTTCCTGCTCAGATGTGACTCAACCCGAGTGGGAACACAGCTTCTTCTGCTAATCAGAGGACTTCTGGGAAAAAAGAGATAGTTTCTCCTGCAGCAGGACACGCTGATGTTTCTCTTGTTTTGCAGTTGACGCGCGCGGCTGGATGGATTGTCTGTAAAGGGTTTGATCGGGAGGAACATCAGGCGAGGAGAAAACTTTGCTGAAGTTTGTTGGAGCCCTACGCGGCTGATCTGGATGTGAGCAGACCTGAGATCTGCTCGGAACAAACCGAGTCTCTCTGTGTGTTTCTGGAGAATCTGCTCGGACGCTCTGCATGCAAGGATCTTCTTCTCTTTCTTTTTAATATCGCTGCGTTTTTTCGCTGTTCCCCTCTTGCGTCATGACTTCTAGCTATGCACATGCAATGGACAGGCAAGGCTCGCTATCAAACCGGCTGGAGAGTCCGATCACCTCTAACCTGGACAACCTTCAAGCCAAAAAGAACTTCTCGGTCAGCCACCTGCTGGATCTGGAGGAGGCCGGGGAAATGGTCGGCACCCAGGCTGACGAGAGCGTCGGGGAGGCGGGGAGGAGTATGCTGGAGTCCCCGGGGATGACCAGCGGGAGCGACACGACCCAGCAGGAGAGTAAGTGAAAGATACCACTGAGCAAAGAACATCATTTAAATGTTGTGGCCAAAAATGTTAAAATTCCTCTGTTTGTTTTGGTTCTAAACTACGAGTCTTCAGGCTCGATCCCAGAAAATACGGCAACTTTCGCACAGATGTATTTCTAATGAGCAGCTGAAAACTAAAGTAATTTGTTTTCGTTATATTCTGGCGTGTGTCCGCGTGCAGGGCGCATGCATGAAGCTCGTCAGAACGCAGCGCGCACGGAGAAGAATCCTTTAGTGAGCTTTGGCAATGCATCATCCCTGACGGCCTCCCCCTCAAAACGGCCATTAATTTACCATTAACACTTTGATGTCAGTGAGGTACGGTGATGTTGGTGGACATGGTCGATGCAGTAACCCTGCAAGTAAAACCCGGGGGTAATAAATCTCTTCCTCATGAGCAAAATGAAGCCACAACCTTTTATTTAAGAGAAAACCAATACATTAAAAATACCTAGTCACGCGCTGGTCGTGTCATGTGTATACTAGTTTTATGATACACATCTCTATTAGGTAACCATTAAATAATGATAAAAAGCATTTTCTCAACCACCAGTCATTCTTGGGCGTGAGGGTAAAAACGAAGCAATTCCAAGCCGAGTTTGGTGATCCAGGCGGGTCCTTTTAGCTGATTTGCCGCTGACGCCCGAACCTCAAACTTAAAACTTTTATTTACGGGTGTTATTTGATGAAATGTGCCATTGGGTGCATGGAAGTTGACTAAATCTCCGATAAATCCGCGGCTCGCCATTGAGAGGATAAATAAACGCTACCTCTTCCTCTTCTTCTGCTCAAAGGGCCATTCTGACAGAGCCGTTAGGCTTTAATGAGTGTTATTGTTAGTTTTTTAAAAGGCTAAAAATCGTGTGAGAAATATGCGGGAGGAAGTGGCCGGGTCACGTCGTTAATTCGCGGTTATTTTCGTCCTGTCAAACACTTTCAGAATATCGGAGCCTAATCATTTGTCATAATTACCGCGCGTGTCCTCGCGCCAACAATTAGGGAATCATATAACAGCATCTTATCGGATTACATGTGGGTAGAGATACTTAGAAAGAGGGGTTTAGAAAACTAATATTGGTCTGATGAGTAGAAACATTTTTGCTGTTTATTTGCGTATTTAATAATGAGGAAACAATGCATCAGCAGATTTACGCAATATTCAGATATTAATAATGAAACATTGGAGCTGTAATGTTCATACATTTTATTTTTCCGATTTACTTACAGAAACGTGAAGCAACAATGTTAAATGTAATATATTTCGCACATCATCAAAATAACCATATCTATCATTTAAAAGTAAAACATTTTAAAGTAAAGTATTACATATCTAAATGTAGCCTGATGTTTACTTTTTGTATTACTATTTGAGAACTCAACAACCTCTCTTCTCGCGATAGAGTTTTGGCAAGACTAATTGACTTTCACTGATAGTTGCTAATGAGATTAATGTAATCACACGTGTTGGCTGCATGATAATGATGGTGATGATGATGATGATGATGACAGGAATGGATTTGCTGGTTTTAATGTCACCCTGCATGTTTAATTAAAGCTTTCCGAGGCCAAACCGCCGCTCTGCCTCTGCACTACCATGCAGAGTTCCCTCTGGGATTTTATGTTTTATATTTATACTTTAAACAGAGCTAAACATTTTTTGAAAAACTTGAATCGGTCATCCAAGAAACACTATATAATTGAACTTAGTTAAAAAAATAAATAAGGCTTTTCTATCGAAGTTACATTTTAATTGTCCTTTTTTTTCACAAAAAATACATTTCCGTACCTTATGTTGTGCTTAATAATAATACAAAAATATGTTATTCAGTAGCATATGTATAGCCTACAATCTTTTTTATTTGCTCATGTAATCTAATTTGCCCGCTTTTCTCCGGTTGTAACGTCATCAAACGGGCGCGCGGACTAATGAAGTGCTTCATGATTTTCCTTTTAACCTCGAGCCTGAACAGCGGCTGTTTTCTGGGGAAAGAATGCGCGGTCGGCCGCTGTTTGGTCGTTTACAGCCGCACTGTAACTGCGTCCACTCTGAAACTTCTCCATTTACACTGATCCTAAACTGTGAGCCTGCTGATCCGCTGCACTGATTTATAACTAACTGTTTTATACAAGATGGAAGTCAGAGGACAGTGTTTTTGATCGCAGTTTCTTAAAATCTTTCGTCATACACCGAAGATACATTGCAAGAATGTCATTTATTTAAGAACACTTTTATATTATATATTATACAATATTATGTGAGCTCAGTTTTTGTCTGCATATAGCCGATTCAATTACAGGAATATACTTTGAAGGAAAAAGGATATATATAAATATACATATTTAAGTTTTATATGAAAAACAAAAAACATTTGAATGGCTCTTATCCCCGAGTCAGGATCCCCACAGAGGGGAGGGCAATCTGAAAAATCACTCAAGGATTCATAGGATTGGAAAGGAGAAGGAAAACAGCTTCACAGCATTCAGAGTATTTTCCTGATGTATTTTTCAAACAAAACAAAACAGCAAATACAAAAACATATCTATTTCGTCACACAAATATAAATAAAGAATCATTAGGACTTACTGCTGCAAACGGTGACAATGCTACAAAGAGGTCCTAAGAAAATGTGAAAGGCCACATGAGGATTGATAAAAAAAAACTGGTTTCTTTCAACCAAAATGATCTCCATTTATTTCCTGCTTTCTATCCAATTTTTGCATTTATTAACAAAAAATACTGAGTGTCTTAACAAATCCGGCCTGTAAAAATCCGAATTAAGACATTTTGGGCCACCTGTTAAAAATCTAAAAAACACAAACTAATGTTTGCTATGTGATCAAGTCAATATTGCTTTTTTCTAAAGGGTGACTTCTAACCAGCAGATAAGCAGCGTTTACATTTAGTTTACTGACAGCTGTTCTCTGATTGGCTGAGGCTGCGGGGAGCTTTTCTCATTAGACAACAAAACAAACATCATCTGCTCTAAGTGTGTGACACCAAGTGTGTGTGGAAAAGCAAAAGCATTTGTACCCAGAATTTGACTAGAAACACATACTCACAGTTCAATAGAGCATTAGCAATCCAATGTAGGAATACACCTATTTAGTAGTATGAAGATCTGCCGTTTTAGAAATCTCGCCAAAGCCTTTAAGAATTTGGGAATTTCTTGTGTCAGCAAGTTTTGCATCTTTAAAATAAAAAATCTTCTCCGCAGGTTCAGCATATAACCTGACGTAAACATGTTAGATTTGCTGAGGAAGACCATGAGATGTGATTTAAAGCTTGGAAGACTTTTTGTTTTCTTAAACCAAGGTTTCCAGGTCAATTACATTTTAAGATGATGTTCAATTTATTAATTAAAATTAATAAGTTAAAACAGTAAAAACCCGTTACGCAGTCAGAGAAGAACAAGCAGAGAGCTGTTCCGAACTACAGCTGAATGCAGTTGTGTTTTAAATAAGTAATGAACGTCCTAATCTTTTTTATTTTTTTATAACAAATTATTCTCATGATACAAATATATTTTACTAAGAATATCGAATTGCACCCACTTCATGTATGTATTTTAAATGAATTTCTTAAGAAAACAAAATTAAAACACTCATCAAATGTTTTGGGTTCTAATGCTAAATAACGTACAGCCAAACAGCAAATAAGCCTTGAGTGGTCACACACAAGACTTATAAAATACATTGAAATCCTTTGAGTTTTCACCAGTTTAATTTAGATTTGTTTAATACTATTTCCTGTTTTGCATCGCTTCTAAAAATGTAATATTTAAAGGTTTACAAGTATAAGTTTAGCGTACAAGATGTCTTTAGGATTAATGTTGAATATCAAATCTTTATCTCCAAAATAATCCATTAATCCAGTTCCTAGATAAAAACAGTGCAATAAACAAAAAAAGAGATTTCTCTCTGAAATATATAATCTCAAAACTCAAATTCTATTTATGAGGCACTTAGACGTAATGCAGTATAGAACATGAGGAACAATAACTTCCCACCTCAGTGTGTGTCTTTGTGTGTTGATGCAGATTGTGTTATGGGTGTGTGTGTGTGTGTGTGTGTGTGTGTGTGTGTGTGTGTGTGTGTGTGTGTGTGTGTGTGTGTGTGTGTGTGTGTGTGTGTGTGTGTGTGTTGTGTGTGTGTGTGTGTGTGTGTGTGTGTGTAATTAGCAGCATGATCACAGCCTCTCTTCCCATGTGAAAGTGTTATTTTGTGGTCTTGTTGTGGAGCCACAACAGAACTGATTCCCCTACAGGAGCGTTTACACTGAACAACACAAGCTGCTGGAAGGTGCAGAAAAGATTATATATTTACCTTTGATCGTTAGCTGCTACATGTGCTAGTGCTTTCAGTGCTGGTCCAGGAATAGTTTCTAAAGGATTTAATAGAATCACACACACAAACAAAAAAGTATTATTTTAAATAACATTAGTGTTATCTCATGTCACATTTGAGATTGCTCTCTCTGATATCTAGATTTTAGTCTCATAATCCCAATCATACAATAAATATGGATAATCTGGAGGAGGAATTATTGAATTCATTTGTATTGTCTTGAATTTTTGTTGGACCATCTTTCTTTTTTATTTGAGAGACACACATATTTACATTTGAACAATTTTCTGAATTGTCCGTATTGCATGGGCATGTTTTCCTTTAATTTATACAATAGGGGTCGGCGTTAGATAGAAAGTGTGAAGGGAGATGCAACTAAGATACCTTGCAAGGCTAAAATCCTGGATGTTTACCTGGTACAATTCTTAGACGCTGAGAGAGCGACAGCCGCCACTTTGTGTCTTTTGATACCAATTCAAACGTTCTGAGAATTGTGTCTTTGTGAAGGTATACTCTGTTTAGTTACAGTTGCCATCAGGTTATCATCGAGGGAAACGGTGTTCAGAGTACATAAGTATTACCTGTACTCACTTAAAAGTACTGTGTAGCAGCTGTAGGTCAGGTGGTAGAGTAAATTGGAAGCTTTTTGATCAAGACCTGCACCCTAAAAAATATTTGAACCTGTTCATGCACGGCCAAGGAATTTAAATTTCGTTGGTTATGCACATCAAAAAAACGTTAACAGTTACTGGATCAGAAAACAATCCAATACAAGAATCAGAAAAAGATCTGCAAAATGTATTAAAAGTGTAAACGTTTAACAGCTTTATCAGATACTGTATATTCATCAGTTATATTGGAAATCTCTGTTAGATGGAAACGCTACTCACAAAAAGCTTGCGTGGGGCTTTTAAAACACAGTGCGGGTCTATAGTCTGAATCTGGCAATATAATTGAAGTTGCAACGGACAAAGTTATTATTGAAGTAATATTATCCGGATTCAATCATAATATACAAACATTTTTGAAAGTTTCAACTTTTATACAAACAAGAACGACGCATTGTGATTTTTACTTTTGCAGATTTTACAATTGAGAAACTGTACTAGAATATACCATGAAATATTAAAAACATCTTTATTTGATGAACATCAATGGTGCATATTCTTTTAAAACATCAATAAACTCTTATTGATGTTTGAGGCAGCCGCAGCTATTCAGAACAGCCCGCAGCAGCAGTGAACTGCACAAATGTGAAGAGCTGTATTTATTATTAAAATGTGATGTGGGCTGACACGCTGCTTTCTTTTATTATTATTATATCCCCTCCGGCAAAGTGTCTCAAGCTTCAACCTATAAGCATCTAAAGTCTCATTCTTTTTGTGTAACATCCCCTTCTTCTTCTTCTCCCTATAGATGAGCAGATGAACACGGAGGAGAAGAAGAAGAGGAAGCAGCGCAGGAACAGGACCACCTTCAACAGCAGCCAGCTGCAGGCTCTGGAGCGAGTGTTTGAGAGGACACACTACCCCGACGCCTTCGTGAGGGAGGACCTCGCCCGCCGGGTCAACCTCACAGAGGCCCGAGTCCAGGTAGGAATAGGAGTAGCACCGCAAAAACATAATATGTTACTCTCAACCTCATTCAGGGGATTTATTTTTGTAATACTCTTTTTATTGTCATTTTTGTAAACATTCAGACATAATATAAATACATACACCCACTGCGCACATAACATACATCACTGGGTGACAATAACCTCACCTTAATCATGTAGCAAGATATCTATATCTCAGCTTACATACACATTCCTGAAATAAAAGCACAGAGAGAAAATTAATACAAATAATAAATGATAATCATAATGGCCTGAGGTGTGGCCTCATTACAATGAGAAACATCAAATAGGAGGGAAAGAAAATAATTTACTTATATATATTCAGGGGATATTTTTGACAAAACAGACCCGGATTTCTTGGAAGTTTTGACGGTTCTCCTTTAGCAGCGGTAATTTATCAGACAAACTTTGACGGAAAAAAAGCCATAACAGCCATCAGAAGTAGGAAGATGCCTGTGGTCATCCTTCTGTAAACCGCTTTAGTCAGTGTAGGGAAAATAAACAGATCTCTTTAAACACACACACAAAAACTCCCTCCATTACTTGGTCCATCGAACATACTTCTTGAGGTTTTGGGACCCCCGGGGGACCTGTTAATGAATCCTTGTGGGTCCTCATGACTCACACCGGGATTTCTGAAATGATTCATGAACAGCTTTGTTTGGGTTGCCAGCAGAGCAGGACCAGCTTGTTATTAGAGAGACATTTTATATGAGGACATGAAGTTACAGAGGTGGACATCTTCACATCATCTGGTAGCTCTTACAAGTTAATATTCCTACTTAGTGGCTTATCAGTAGCTATTACCATGTTTAGATTCCCCATTCTGGGGTCTCTGAGGAACTGATAAGGACTTGTCAGCGCCTCACACACATCACACTTACTATCTCTACAGTGATGGCTGATAGTGTGGAGGCTGAGAGCAGTTTGCCTCCCCAAAGGGACTGCATGTGATCAGTAAAGTGGATGTAATGATATCTAATTTCCTCAGTGCCTAACAGATCAGTGATATACGGCAAATGGGCAACACATGAGGGCTGCAGCAGAACCCGAGCTAAATGTGACAACGCTGTAACTGGCCAGTGAGATCAGACTACCAAACATAGAATAAGAAGCTAGAATATGGCTTTAGTGTTTTAAATGCAAACCATTTTTCGTTAATCTCGAGAGTCATGGTTTTTTTATGCATACTGTAAAAAGTGAATGCTATTTTCTGACTTTACATACACCTTCTAAATTATACATCATCAATCATTTCAGTGCGTTCCATGAGTCTAAGAGAAAATAAGTCATGCTGCATTAGTTTCTGTATAAAACATTACGTGTTACGTTTTTGTAAACATAATGTGTCAATGTATGTCCCTGGAACCCTGCTGCGTATAGTTTTAATTCATGTTTTATTCAAAATCTCAGGAGGCGGGTGCCGTCACCTCTCCTGGCAACTTTGTGCTGAAGTAACAAAACCACGATAAAGTGTGTTGAAATGCATTGAATAAAGAACATTTCTCCAGTTTTCCAGCTAGTGATGCAAAGTCATTCCTGTATCATCCGCAAATCAAAATGTATTTTTTTCCCACCAAAAAAGTGTACTTATCTATTTCTGTGTTGTATATGCAGAACAACTTTGTAAAATGGAAAAAGTCCATACATATTTTTACATTTATGTAAAGCATTTTCTATATTTATAAGCAGCTCAAGAAACATTATTCCAACTATTCTTTCAAATGCGAACAGGCTTTAGCACCTGTTAAATAATGATACGAGTTACACATGTGCGCCTCCACACTGCAGGTTAATATGTATTTTAAAGCTTTTTCTGGTCTCTTTTAACTGCCTGTCTTCGGAACACAACAGAGAGAGCATTTGTTCTGTGGGCAGAGAAAGAGGGGAAGAGGAAATTGTGATGTTGGAGAGAGAAGCTGCACATCTGTGAATAATGTGTAGCAGAGAGCGATGCTTTGATAAAAGAGACTTTGGGCTCATTCCTGAGGCTGTGCGTCAGCGAGCAGCGAGCCTGTGAGCGTCTAATAATGGATTTCACTTCAGAGCGAGGAACAATGTTAACACCCCCTGGGTCACACCATCATCTGTTCAAGGATTTGTGTGTGTTGCTTTGATTTGTATTTAGATGAAGATTTAAGATTCGTTTTCAGAGTTGTATTACTTTTGATTTGACTTTATAGTGCAGAGGAACCCAGTCATAACATGTACACTTCTGTTAGCCACTGATGAAGGTTATGAGAGCTGGTTGAAAATTGTTTTTGAATCTTTGAGTTGGGTATATTTTCTTGAACAATGTACTGTAAGAGCAGACCGAGGAGCAAGGCAACAGTTTTTAAGAGTCATTGTTTCTACGCATATTGTTTTTTTTATTGTTCGATATCTGTCCATCCTCCACCCCGACGTCCACACTTCTTACTGCCTCTTCACAAAGTTTGTTGCTGACTGATCCAATAGAAGGTCTTTACTCAAAATAATACAGGGCTGTTTTTATCTACTGCACCACTCTACATAAAAGGGACATTTTCTAGAAGTCTTTTGTTTTGTTTTGGAAATGTGAGTTTGTAGTGATTGAAGAGGTTAACAGAGGTTAAAGAGTTGAAGACAAAACAAGAGAAGCTGCTTTTCCCCTTGTAATCTAAAGCACATTGAGTTTCTTTGTAATGGAATGTGCTCTATAAATGCATCTACCTTGACTTGCCTTCTTTTTGAATGACTTATGACAAGACATGTTTACGATAATACACAATACGATACGATGCACTCTATTGTCCCTGTATGGACATTTGCTCTGGACTCTCTCCTGCAGTTCCACAAAGGTTATATTATGTTCATATACACAGTTTGCTCATATTTATAAACAGGTAATGGCGATCTACTTCCCAACCCTCACCCCGTTGCCCTCTTTTGTTCCAGGTTTGGTTCCAGAACAGGAGAGCTAAGTTTCGCAGGAACGAGCGCGCCATGCTGGCCAGCAAAAACGCCTCGCTCCTCAAGTCCTACTCCGGAGACGTGACGGCGGTGGAGCAGCCGATCGTCCCGCGTCCGGCACCCCGCCCCAACGACTACCTGTCCTGGGGGAGCGCCGCCCCCTACAGGTAGACTCCCCTCTGCTCTGTCACCTGACATAACCAGCAACCATCACAACAACACATCACTGCTTCAACACGGCTTCTGTACTAACGTCTGCATTAACAGTGAAGATCTGCAGCACAGCAGGAAGGGAAGAACTCAAACGACTTAAGCAAAGGCAGGACAACCACAAGGGACATAGACTAAATGTCTAAAGTATCAATAGGAAAAATACTGTAATTGTGAAGAAGTCAAAACCTCATAATCTACCATTTTTCTATTTTTCATTCTTTGACTTTAGTTTAGGAAGACATTCCATATAAAAGGATGGTTTAAAGAATTATATGGGAAAGTAAAAAAGGAAAGATGACAGAGGAAAGGAAAGAAGTGAAGGAAAGGACAGTTTGAAGGCAAGGGAGAAGAAAAACAAATAGCTAAGGATGGCATTTAAAAGGTATAGAAATGTAAGAGAAAGCAAGAAGAACAGGAAATACAAAATGAGATGAGAAACTTCACACAAAAAAAGAGTAGGAGAAAGAGAAAGAGAGAAAGAGAAGAAAGAGGAAACCTCCAATATGAATGATTGCATGTTGGATATAAATCCTGTTGCAGTGGAGCACAATGTAGTGTACCAACATCCATAATGTGCTCTGTTGCATTACTACAAGCTGTACTTCAGTGCTGACTAACCTCTCCTCTCACCAAGTGTCTCCAGATGAAAAAGCAAAAGCTGTTATAACCACATGTTAACACCACCGTAACACACACACACACACACACACACACACACACACACACACACACACACACACACACACACACACACACACACACACACACACACACACACACACACACACACACACACTGCTCTCTGTTATTGTTTCATTTCCTCCTCCTCTTCTTGCTGCACATACTCCTCATACTTCCTCTGACCATCTTCCTCTCCTCTGATCCTCTGAGGCCCTCTCTTTACTGAGGATAAACGTTTCATGACAAAACGCCGGTCTTGGTCAATACTGTACATGGATTTAAAATGGATTTCACTCAAAATGTATTTAGTTATTTAGGATTACAATTCCTCAGATAAAGAAATGTTTCCCTTTAAACCATTTTATTTAAGTCAACATTAAAGGACACAACTGTGACTAGTATCTTCCGGTTTTCATATTACTGTATTTTGTGGTATCTTTGGCCAAACTTTCCCAACAACAAACCTCCTAGCGCCACATTGCCATGTAAAATGTACTGTTGAATCACAGACGCCTGTGCTGACATACAACATGAAAAACACTAAATCACATCCTCAGTTTTATGCTTTCCAGTATTTAAATATCTGAAGCAAAACATGTCAAAACACAATATTTGTATGTATCGTAGTGTTGAATCAGGTTTGAAACCAGATTATCTTCACATCACAGTGTTAATCCTAATTTAAAGGCAAGATATATTGTATGTAAGAATTTTCATTTTGAAAATCCACATCATAACGTCCCGAAATTGCTTACTGTCACTCCGAGGTGGTCTACTTAAAGATTAATCATCTTTAATCTTTTAATCATGGTCTGCGGCAACCAGCCTTCTCCTTTTAATAAATCTGAATTTAGACGAAAGTTTCCTGATATATGACATTTTAGAGGGCTTTCATTTTGAAATTCCACTTCAGTTTGTCCTGATATTATCAAATACTTACTTATGTGTAAATTGCGAGAAATCTGAAAGCATGTCCCCTCGATGAAGATTGTTTAACTGCATTATTTTATTATAAAATGCAACATTTATTGAAGCACAAATACAGTGTTGTAGTGCGTTACTTATATTGGTAAAGTTGTTATGCTTTATGTATTTAGCAGGAATATAGCAGTTGTCTTGCGAATGTACTCCACAGACTATTAGTGCTGGTCATCTCAATTACATATGAACCTTTTTAAAGTTTGTACATTAAGATTGTGTTGCAAAAATGGAGTCAAAGTAATCATAACACGCTGTAATATAAGCCCCGAGTCCGTCCTCCATGGCTGTTAGAAAGCTGTGTTTTGTCTACTTCTACTTTTAAACTTTCTTTTCTGTCTCTTTTACTCTGCCGTGTTTTGCCTCTGTCTCTCCTCCAGCTATTTTCCTACACTGCATATATAACAGTCTTTTCTTGCACACATCTAACTCCAACCTCTCAAATTATGTTGAATAAAAACACCCTTCTCCTCGCCCTCAGTCCCATCACTCCCCTCTGTCAGCATGAGCAGGGCGGGCCCAGATCCTGTGACCCTCCTGACGAGGTGATAATGTGAAAACAAACCGTATTAAATCCACTGTTGACCCCTGTGACCCCTGCCTGCTACACTACACCATATAATGAACGCTACACAGAGGGACATGGCTCTATTGGGCAACATTTTTTGTGACTCTGGTTACATTGGTCGTGATTTACAGTAATCCTCCGTTATGAAGCTCGGTGTAAAATGCCAAACCCTGCGGCCACGGCTCAGACTCTCTCAGAGCTGTTTTGGCTGAACGCAGGGCAGCGATGGAAATCTTTCTGTGAATAATGCATAATGTGGAACACGCTAATGTGGTGCTAACACTTCAATGTATATTATCCTAAAGCTGGTATCCGATGCCGGAGGGGGGGCCAGTGCGAGTGCCACAGAAAATGCTGCCCTCAGAGAACAAGTACGCATTCACTTTACTACACTCAGCTCTTTTCTTATCATAGAAAACTCGCAGTATTCTCCTTTAAAGAGGAATACTGCAGTTTTTTTACACTGACTGTTTGCAAAATCATTTTAAAGCTTTGAATGTATTCCTTGAATTGTATTCTGCCTTTATGTCAATTTTATACTTTTATTTTAAAAACATTGGGTTTTTTTTTTTGTTTTAAAAGCATCATACCAATGTTTTTGCACATTTCAACCCATTTAAAAAAAACATTAATTTATTGTTTGATAATTTCTTCCTTTCTTCATGAAGCCATCACTTTCTATACAGTAAAACTAATAGATACTGCAACTTGAAACATGCTTGAGATAGAACATCTATTAGTGAGTAACATGTTTGCTTTAGTTTCATCATGTTATCGTAATGTGCTAAAGTTTTAGGATGTGTATCTCCATCTGACCCCACAGCTCATTTATCACACGATAATAGCACACAGTTGATCCAAACTGTTTTACAAATAAAGTTGAGTAAAAAAATAATAAGAACAAAAATATAGATAAGAAAAAAACTGAACTTTTTAAGAATAAAATTGTGTCGAATAAACACTTAAGTGGTTAAAAGCCAGTGACTACCAATGCGTTTGAATCAAATCTGGATTATTCTTATATTTTATGTTGAAAACCTTGCAATAAACACCTGAAATATATGAAGAATTGGAAATAGAATTTCAATACAAAATGTGAATAGTCACCAAGGTCCTTTTGGATGTGCATGTGACACATGATGATTGATAGGAGTCTTGAAAGAACAAGACAAACAAACAAAATGCAAGTCATAGGAGCCGCAGTTTTGGGGCGAAAACTAAAAAAACAATAAAAAACATTTGCTCAACATTGTTCATTCTGACAAGGACATGACTTTAACAAAAACAAAAGCAGACAAGATTATCACCAAAATAACACCTCCATAATTGACTGGTTGCATGAACTAAAAACAAAGCTGCAGAACATTTTGGTAACAACAACAACAAACAAGTCAGTAAATCATGCACGGAGAAACACATCTGGTTAAAAAGAAAGAAGAGACATATGTCCTCAGTCATAAGGAGGTAAAAGAAGACTCATTTAAAATGCAGGAAAAATAAAAAGTAAAGAAAATGGTGCAAAAATACATTTCAAATTCCTAAAGAAAAATAATAATTCTAAGAGAGCAATAGAAAAAGGCCAGTTAAGGGCTTTGTGACTAATAAGTATTTGTTAAATTATTTATTATTAGATCCCAGTTCAATACACCATTTCCTCACTGAATGGGCAGATTAGATTTTTTTATGAAAATAGGGGGAAGAAATGTGAACCCGTTTCTGTATAAAAGAAATATTGCCGTAAAAGCCAAACCCTGTTCATGAAAAGTTGTTTTTAAAAAACACAACCTGGTGAGGATGTGAAAATAAAGTGGATGTGTGTATCACGATGGCTTCTTCCAAATAGTTTGCCAGATTAAAAAGACTGAAAAGATTCAATCCAAATGAACTCAGGTGAAATACAATAAGAGCGATAAAACGTTAAACCCTCCTCTGATAAACTGTGTGAAGTGAAGGTAAAACGTGCAAAAACACTGGTTCATTTCTTCTGGGGGGTTTTGGGCCATGTCTTAACGTCATATTGAGTCTCAGTCTCCTCACATGATGAGTGATACCTGTTTCTGTTCCTTTTCCATATTTCCACAGCTGCGGCTCATGCTGAGCTTCAGCTCGCTGTCAGCCACAGGTGATGTAACCTTTCCCCCCCCCTCTTGTCTCTCAGCGCCATGGCCACCTACCCGCCCACCTGCTCCAACACCAACACGTCCCAGGGCATGAACATGGCCAACAGCATCGCCAACCTGCGGCTCAAAGCCAAGGAGTACAGCTTGAATCAAGTGCCCACGGTCAACTAAGAGGAGAGGCCGGGGGCTGGTGCAGGAGAGGGGGGGGGCCTCTCTGCCGCTGGACCCCTGCAGACGGGCACCGTCTCTGGGTCGAGCATCATCTTACGTACCCTGGATCCTGAAGCCTCCTCTCCTCCTGGGGCAGCGATACTACACCTATATGCAAATTGTCGGACCCCGAGTGATGTCCGGATTTTCCCTAAGCCGCCTTTTTTTATCCTCCTGGGCATCGCTGAACTCTCGTTTGTACAAAGAGACACATAGACTGGAAGCTGTAGCCAAATATCTGCCTAGTTTTACCTTTGTGATTGTGACTGAAATGGAAGGAGAGTTTTTCAACGTTTTCTTTTTCAATCGAAGAACTTGTTCTCGACGGAGACTCGTGTTTGGACTACGTGGAATTCCCTTTGTCCCGTTGGCTGTGGTTTGGATAAATGACACATCAAATTTGGGATCAACAACCCTTTTTTCCCCCCACTTTTAAAATCAACAATACACCGACAAGGACTTCCTCTGACATTTATGCAATTAAAAAAAAAAAAGTTTTGTTTTTCCACATTTTCTCTGCCATGCTATACCACTGACGAGCAAACATTTTCAACGCATTTTGATTTTCGTGTAATGGTCCAATATAAAGGAGAGGCTAATGTATTTCTGAATCCAAAACCTTCTCTAAATTTCCTATGATAACCTTTATTTGTAACAGAATAAAAACTTGTATATTAATAAAAAATGCATCACAAGCAATGCAATGGCACAGTGTCCAATTCAACAGTTCAACACATTTTCCACTTTCTGGAGAAAGAATAACATATAATTGTATGACAGTTGAATCCATTTTGAAAGCACAATGATGTTGGACCTCATGAGTTCCATAAAAGGAAGATTTACAACTCGAGAACAGATTCTCTTCACAGAAACCTCAAGCGGCTCCTGCTTTGTGTTTTCTCTTTTTTTTCCTGATTACCAGAACCTGACATTTCCATCTTAAAAACAGGATATTTATGTGCAGGGAAATCCTCTCTTTAATGTGGAGGGCCCCTGGGCCTCGTCTGACTCTGCGGCTGTCACACAAAGTGTTTCTTCTCCTTGGCCCCTCATAACCTCCGCCTGCAACAAACACATGTCCACACTCGTCCTCCTACGACTCACACAGGACCAAAGAGTGGGGACGATTGAAACCGCAGTTGATGTGGGAGAGTTTCGATTTTTCAGGAAAAAGTGATCAAAAGGGACACAAGCATATTGTCTGTGGAAATACATACAATACTGAAACGACTGCAGGGTTTTTTTTAATTTGTCATTGAGTTGAGAGTTATTTTAGCTTTGCTGATGTCAAATCTTTAAACATCATGAACTTTTGCGTACAACATATTCTAAATTCCTATAGTTTTATGTTAAATTCAGCATACAAGTTACATTTCAGGCAACTTTAATCCTCCAAAAATATTTGGATTCACTATTATTGGTATTGTCTCGTGCTATTTCCTTTGGCATCCATCATCAACTTTTCAGCTTTCTGTTTCATTTTATTTTTCAAGTACTTGGTACAGCTTCGAAATTCTGACACTTTACTGAAGTATTTCAATATTTCAAAACATTTATTGACATTTTTATTTTTATAGATTCAGATTTAACAGCCAACATGTGGCGAGCTCACGAAATAAGCGAGTTGTCCAGCAAAAAACCTTTTGAAAACTCTTAGAAAAAGCCTTTTTTGTTAGTCTTTGCAGCATGCTACCCTAGAGGGAATGAGCTCTGAGGATTTCTTCCACTTTGGCATGTAATCCATCATCTGATTTTAAGCAGGAGAATCCCTGTGAAAGCATGATGATTTGGGGAGTTTTTCATCATTTCATTATCTCCAATGTGGGAGGTTTTACAACTAAGAATTTATTTTGGATCAACCTATAATTGCGTATATCTTTGATTGCAGTTTGATTAAGTAAACGATGTAATGGCCATTTGTTGAGTTGTGTGGTTAGTCGTAATAAAGAGCTTCATTGACATTAGAAAAAGGATATTTCTGTTTCCCTCTGGCCGTTTTATTTTCTGCTGTTGGTTGTTTTCCGATCACTGATCCCTGACTGTGGTATGTCCAGTGTCAGACCCCTGTCCCCCTCTCCCCTGCCAGGCGCCCGGTCTCACCTTTCATGGCCAGGGCCCGGGCTGACCTGAAGTGATTCCAGATGTGGAGATCTTTTTGACCCTCCCACCCCTTCGCCCTTCCTCCCCCGCTTTCTTTTCCTCCTCCCGCCCCTCCCCATTTGCCCCCAGGCCTTGGCCAGCCACTCCATCAGGGTTGACACCGTCCCCTCGGACAGCGTCTCTCCTCGCCTGAGCACATGACACACAAGGCAGCTCCCCCACCGCCCTTCTCCCCCGCCCTCACCCACCCACCCCCGTCCTCTGCAACACATCTGGAGCTCATTACAGAGGAGACAGTAAGAGCGAGGGAGGGGCGGGGAGTCTGCGTGCAGAGTGTGTGTGTGTGCAAGAGAGCGGGAAATAGTGTTTCTTAACCCTTCTCCCCTTAAAACATCCACCTTTTTTCTCCTCTTTCATTCTCTTTGTATCGTTTCTTCTTAACTTTTGCTTTTCTTACCCCTCCCTCTCTGCATGCAGTGATCTTTATCCCGCTGTCAGTGCCACATGATCGCAAATATTTTATTAATGAGCGGTTTTAGAAAAGAACTCGGCACAAGAAAAAAAAAAAAAAAAACAAGAAGAGAGAAAATCTGAGAGCAGCCTGAGTGAAATACTGCACAGCTGTTAACAGTGTGTGGTTTGGGTGAACAACCAAAAGAATTTCCAGAGATGTGGAGTTTCCACGCAAAGTCAAGTTGACTGAGAGGTTGCCCTGTTTGTGTGATTAAGTCACTATTGTTACGCACTTTTCATAAACACAGATGCAGGCTGGAATACACACTCAGTCTGTTGCACTGTAAAGGAAACATAATTAACTCCAAACTGCCATCTCAAGGTTAACGCTGATGACCATATGTACTGTTCTCCCATCGCCAACCAAGGCTTGTTTCTTTTATTCAGGAAGTGAGAAATGCTGCAGCTTTTCCCATAAAAGAGATGTTTACATTTTCTGATTAACGTGGACTATTTGTGAATATATACACAGGATTGAATGGCCTTAAAAGTCATTTAATCTGCCTAGAAACTAGAGACCATAACAACTTTAAAGGCTAACTACGGTTTATGACAACGTGGGTCTTATTTTTATAGTGATACTGCTGCAACGGTGTCCGAAAAGGCTAGAAAACAGCTTTTCGATATGCATTCACATTGGACAGTTCTACAGCACACAATTCTCCTCTGGTCGCACTGCTCAGAGCCAATACAGGAAATGGTGTGCGCTTTACTGTATGTGGCAAGGCCTCTGTATGATGTAAAGAAGTACTTGTCCGATTGCCTAAATGTCTGAAAAATCCCTGTCCAATTAAAAATGTAGGGGTCCTGATACTCTTCACGGGAAAGATTTAATGTGACACCAGTGTTTTAAACTGGAAAGACATCAATGAGGGTTGGCCTTTAGTTGACCCCGCCCTCTAGTGTGCATATTGCAAACACAAACTAGTTTCTTTCAAAGGTAATGAACCCTGACAGTCATGCAAAGACCTGACTGTCATCCAAAATAGTGTAGTTTGTGGGTTTTTTGGAAACCACAAACCTAACAAACCCTAACTACCATGCACATTTTGAATCTCAGCAGTGAATGTCATTGAACATCTCCTGGGGTTCTGCATCTCTGAGAAGACAATGTTCTTGTTGTGAAAGGGTTGCAAGAAGTTTGGCCAACTCATGGTAAAAGAATGATTGCGGTATATTGCAACTTTTGGCCATCAGTTGTATCAGTTAATCTAAAATCGTACTCACAGAAGGAATTTCTAAAATGTGGAAATCACAAAACACTGTCAGAAGGTCAGACAGGTAGTGATCAAGCAAACAGTTACCTTCGGTAGAGGTAAAATGGTAAAAGAGCGCAACTAAGATGTTGCTAATAATCCCCCCATTGCAACAGAAAATTGTGAGCACACAACTACAGTAATGACAGGAGGTTAAACATCGAAGCAGGAAGTGTCTCTGGCTAGCCTGGAAGTTTGTTTTTAACCTGACTGACCCCGACTGCTCGTGTTTCTCGACCTGTCAGACTTCTTTTCAGTGATGTTGCCATGTTTCCAGGTGGTAGCTATTACTTGGTGAGTACCATCTTATCATAACTCATAAAACTTAACAAAATACATCTGAATCATCCTTCAAGGTAGTTGGGATGAATGGGAATCTCGATGAACGTTGCCCAAGAGCTTTTGAGTTTTTTTTGCATTTCACCATAAGTACAGGAAGTAGGAACCAAAATGTCACATGCTGTATTTTCCCATGTTAATGTCTCAAAGATAGTTATTGTCTTGTTCTGGAAGTAATGTAATTATGGTGTGATAAAAAGCTTCAGGCAGGATTTAAATGGCTGTTGAGCGTTCTGGTCCTGGATGAATTAGCATTTGAATTATCTTGGCCCTGCTGAGGTCCAGCGGGGCAACGTCCAAAACAACAATTATGGTGAGTGACGTGACGTGAGCTCCGAGAAATTGTCACTATATAATCAGCGCCAGAGTTTCATATTCCCTCATGGCACACTATTCTAAGTATTTGGAAGACTTTCTCAATCTCTTACAGGAAGTCCGGCCTCTGCAGCAGAACGCGTGCAGGACCTGGGAAATATGTAAGAACTCTCAGGAGTACAAACATTTACTGACCGCAGGGAATATTACTTTATTCCTCTGACAAGAACTCTAGCTCATTTGAGTTTTGTTCCATTAAAGCCGTTCTTCCACAGCCTACAGAGAGCAGTGAAATGCTTCAAAAGACAGCGTTATCAGAAAACTAAGCAGCGCCTGTTGAGGGCCCTTCATGTGTTCCTAACAGCTGGTGTTAAGTGTGTGATACACTGTCCAAACCTCAGGCTCCTCGTCCACTTTGAAGACCTGAAGTGAGGGTCAGAGCTGCAAATCCATCCACTCCAACTGTCAGGCTTAAGATAGATTGCAACAGGAAACAGTTGAACCAACCAGTTGAGTCAAAAACACAACCAACGTCCGTTTCTTTTGTTTCTCAGGACAGTAAAGTGCATGGCAGTATGTGAAGTATCCATATGTAACCTCAAGGGACTCTTCCTCAGATTATCAGCTGTCTCACTCCCTCTGCTGGATACTGGCAGTCCACACAGCCACAGGTCAGGAGAAGCTGCTGACCACCGGGGAGAGCACAGTGTCATGAAACTATCAAGAATTCTTCAATTAATAACCAACTAAGCTTATAAAGTGTTTTCTGTATATTAATGCTTCCTATGCATCTATTTTCTTGAAATAGGTTATAAAGGCGGCGACATTTCAGGCCATTTTGTTTAGAAATTGAATTGCCTCAATAATCGTTTACAAATGCATCTTGAACAAGAAAATATGTCAATGAACTGCTCTATATTCCATAACTGAATTTTAGAAAATAATTGAATCAAGTTGATCAAAAAAGATCCCAGTACAAGCCCCGTTCAGTAGCTTTTCATGATGAGATACAATTGACAAGTAAAAAGGCGCTGTTGCAAGTGAGACAATTACAGACAATAATTGACTTGGTCAAAGCTTAGATTTTTTTGTAATAATTTAATTAATAATTTTAGAGTCAACAAATGCCATGAATGTTAAATGAGACTATTTTCAACCCCCCTTTCTGACTATTAGAGAAAGGTTCTAAATCTTGTTCTCAACTCCTGTGTTGAAATTATTTTAGGAATGTTTAGGGCTGATTGGATCCTTGGTTTAATAACAGTCTACAATTGCTTATCATTGGTAAGCTACTGGCCCTTTCCCTAACATACAAAAAATATCAAGGGTTGATATCATTATTTATCAAGGAAGGATCTGATTCTTCATCTTTAATCAACTGACGATAAAAAGGATTGAAGTGTTCTATGTAAACTGGAGAGAAAGTGGCGTTCTTTAATATGCTTTCTTTTCTGTGATGACATGTTGTGTCTCTACCTCTTCGTGTTTCTCTGTACTGCTGACGGAGGAGGAGAACGGGAAACGACACACTACATCTGCGGTGGCGTTGTCTCTAATGGGCTCCATGCTGGCCAGTTGGAGATGATTATTTGGAGAAACACGACACTGGGTTTGGAATAAATCAGCCGAAATGTGGGCACATGTTGCAGGTCTGGGCATGCATGTGTGCGTCCGAAAACAAGGGATACATAAATGTGTGTGTGTGTGTGAGTGTGAGTGTGTGTGTGTGTGTGTGTGTGTGTGTGTGTGTGTGTGTGTGTGTGTGTGTGTGTGTGTGTGTGTGTGTGTGTGTGTGAAAGAGAGTAAAATAGAGGGATACGGTTTATGTGCCTTTTGATCAGTGCCTAAACTCGAGGCTATGAGGAATGTTTCTTTTTCTCCTTTGAAGGCAGTTTGAGTGTTCTCTAATAGTTTTGGTTCAGCTGTGTGTGCGTGTGTATTTGCGTGTGTGTTCAGCTCGGTATAAATGGGGGGCGAGCTCTGAAATGAATATCATTGTCACATCTCGTGCCAGAGCAAATTCCCCTTCCAAAACGAGCAATTTTGAAGCCAACGCCTGCCGTCGGAAAATCTGCCTTCAATTTTCCTTCACTGGTGGCTGTGCATGCGCTAACCCCTCCAATCCCCTTTTTCTCTCATTCACACACACACACTGAGAGGACCCAAGGCTGAGCCTTCTCCCTCACACACACACACACACACACACACACACACACACACACACACACACACACACACACACACACACACACACACACGCACACACACACACACAGCAGATCTAGTTGGCCTGCAGCAAGTGGACCCCTCAGTTTATTTTGTTCTCAATTATCAATTTAGTGTAAGTGGCAGGCGCCTGATGGGCTCCATGCCGAGAGGAAATGTTTGCATTGTCCTCATTTAACAATGGCGTTTAAACTAATACCTGA